CAGGCCCCGCCTTCTTCCCAGGTTGTCTCCCCACTTCTCCCGCTCGACTCCACAGCTGCCTCTCAGACCTCAGCCCTCCCTGTGCCCCTCCTGTCTTCTCCCATAACCCACCTTCCTCTCCACCTCACTTGCTCCGCTCTTTCCTCTTGAGCCCCACTCTGCCCTCACTCCTTGGACCCTGGGACACCTATTTAGCTGGTTAACTCCTCATCGCAGCCTCCACATCCAGCCTAGCACCAACCAAAGTTGCCTGGTAAACTGGACGCAGAAAACCCTGGTTCAAGCCCACCTCGACCATTATGAGTTATCTGACCTTGGACAAGTCAGGTTTTTTTTCCCCCTCTGGTCCTCAATGTACTCCAAAATAAAATAGGGGCCATGTTCTGCCCATCGCAGGGGGCTAGTGTGATGTTGAAGAGAAATAAACCATCTGCTGGGTAACAGACACACAGCACTGTTGGGCGCCAGGCCCCCTCCTAAGCACTTGATGCATATTAACTACTTTCAATCATAAGGATAACCCTGTGAAACAGGTACTCTTACTTCTCCCAATTCATACATGAAGAAATTGAGGACCAGAGAGGTTAAGCAACTTGCCCAAGGTCACACAGGAAGTAGCAAAATTAGAATTTGAACCCAGACAGTCTGGCTCCCGAAACCACTGTGTGACAAACGGACTTGAGAACCTCTTGGGAATGCCAAGGTACTGTTGGAAAGACAATCAGTCCCCTGGGCTAATGTCCCCTCCCACCACCGCCCCTGCCTCATCCCTCTCAGTGTCTCAGAGACCCCATTTCCAGGTCTCCCACACGCTGTCCAGTGTCTCCGGCATCCCAACCTCCTCACTCTCCACTGCAGCAGGGAGACCCTTACACTACCCGAATCTGTGGGCTTTTCCCACCCCGCCCGCCCCCTCTTGAATCTCCAGTTTCCCTGAGCTGTGACTAATACCAAAGCCACCACCTCCACTCAGCCCCTTCACCCTTCCACACCACCTCTGGCAGCCACCGCCAGCAGGATTCCTTACCTCTGAGCAGGGGCCCCTGACTCATTCATGAGGCCTCCCCCTTCCCTGCCTCCCCCTTACCCCGCTTAGCCTTTTCTCTCCCTCTTTCTTGAATTATACCCCAATTCCACACCACCTGATCTCAACCCACTTCCATTTCCCTGGGTTTTGGAGTCATGGAATAGTCCTGGTAGCTGGTGAGCTGGGTTCAAGTCCGGATCCCTCACCTGCTAGCTGTGTGACCTTTGGCAAGTTATTCAACCACTCCGGGCCTCAGTTTTCCCAACTCGAAAATGAAAGAGCCTCTCTGTCCACTTGCCAGGAGGTCGGTGGGGCTCCAATGAGATCACAGATGAAAGCCTGCTCTGCAAACTGCACCATGAGGAGGGGAACTGACAGCACCGATGCTGAAGCCGGCCTGCCTGGATCTGAATTCTGCTTTTACCAGCTGTGTGACTTTGGTCTAATTACTTAACCTCTCTGAGCTCAGGGTCCTTATCTATAAAATGAGATAGCATATATCTATATATCTAAAAAGATATTTATATATCTATGAAATGAGATAACCAGTCTCATAGGATTGCTGTGAGGATCAAAATGAGCGAATGTGCATAAAACACTTCAAACAATGTTTATTATTACTGTCATTTTCCTCATGCCGGAGTGTATATTCGGTAAAAATGTCATAAAGAAACCTTCAAAATTCCCTCCCTCAGCCACCAGCTCCTCCTTGCTTCCCACTTGACAACCTGTCTGTCCCCAGAGACAGCAGTCACTTGCCTCCAAACACCTTCTCTTCTGTCTGTAACCTGGGTCCCCACCCCGAAATCCAGGGGACAGCTCTTCACCCCCAGTGCTGAAACTTCTGTTTCAAAGGCCAGAAAAGCAGAGACCTGTGTCAACCTGGCAGATGGGAAACCCAGATTGTAGTCTGCCCCCCACCCACTTGCTTGGTGACCTTGGGCAAGTCCCTTCCCATGCCTGAATCTCAGTTTCCTCATCTGTCAAATGGGGTAATAACCCCTGGGTTAACAACCCACCAGTTCCCTGAAAAGGCTCAGTGCCTTGGGCAGCTTAGCCGGGCCGGTACCCTTATTAACATAACACCAGCAGCCCAGCTCAGCGGGGACTGTCAGCGCTGCCTCCTCTGGCCCCAGGTCATTTCTCCAAATGCCCCTCCACATCCAGCCTAGCACCAACCAAAGTTGCCTGGTAAACTGGACGCAGAAAACCCTGGTTCAAGCCCACCTCGACCATTAAGAGTTATCTGACCTTGGACAAGTCAGGTTTTTTTTCCCCCTCTGGTCCTCAATGTACTCCAAAATAAAATAGGGGCCATGTTCTGCCCATCGCAGGGGGCTAGTGTGATGTTGAAGAGAAATAAACCATCTGCTGGGTAACAGACACACAGCACTGTTGGGCGCCAGGCCCCCTCCTAAGCACTTGATGCATATTAACTACTTTCAATCATAAGGATAACCCTGTGAAACAGGTACTCTTACTTCTCCCAATTCATACATGAAGAAATTGAGGACCAGAGAGGTTAAGCAACTTGCCCAAGGTCACACAGGAAGTAGCAAAATTAGAATTTGAACCCAGACAGTCTGGCTCCCGAAACCACTGTGTGACAAACGGACTTGAGAACCTCTTGGGAATGCCAAGGTACTGTTGGAAAGACAATCAGTCCCCTGGGCTAATGTCCCCTCCCACCACCGCCCCTGCCTCATCCCTCCCAGTGTCTCAGAGACCCCATTTCCAGGTCTCCCACACCCTGTCCAGTGTCTCCGGCATCCCAACCTCCTCACTCTCCACTGCAGCAGGGAGACCCTGACACTACCCGAATCTGTGGGCTTTTCCCGCCCCGCCCGCCCCCTCTTGAATCTCCAGTTTCCCTGAGCTGTGACTAATACCAAAGCCACCACCTCCACTCAGCCCCTTCACCCTTCCACACCACCTCTGGCAGCCACCGCCAGCAGGATTCCTTACCTCTGAGCAGGGGCCCCTGACTCATTCATGAGGCCTCCCCCTTCCCTGCCTCCCCCTTACCCCGCTTAGCCTTTTCTCTCCCTCTTTCTTGAATTATACCCCAATTCCACACCACCTGATCTCAACCCACTTCCATTTCCCTGGGTTTTGGAGTCATGGAATAGTCCTGGTAGCTGGTGAGCTGGGTTCAAGTCCGGATCCCTCACCTGCTAGCTGTGTGACCTTTGGCAAGTTATTCAACCACTCCGGGCCTCAGTTTTCCCAACTCGAAAATGAAAGAGCCTCTCTGTCCACTTGCCAGGAGGTCGGTGGGGCTCCAATGAGATCACAGATGAAAGCCTGCTCTGCAAACTGCACCATGAGGAGGGGAACTGACAGCACCGATGCTGAAGCCGGCCTGCCTGGATCTGAATTCTGCTTTTACCAGCTGTGTGACTTTGGTCTAATTACTTAACCTCTCTGAGCTCAGGGTCCTTATCTATAAAATGAGATAGCATATATCTATATATCTAAAAAGATATTTATATATCTATGAAATGAGATAACCAGTCTCATAGGATTGCTGTGAGGATCAAAATGAGCGAATGTGCATAAAACACTTCAAACAATGTTTATTATTACTGTCATTTTCCTCATGCCGGAGTGTATATTCGGTAAAAATGTCATAAAGAAACCTTCAAAATTCCCTCCCTCAGCCACCAGCTCCTCCTTGCTTCCCACTTGACAACCTGTCTGTCCCCAGAGACAGCAGTCACTTGCCTCCAAACACCTTCTCTTCTGTCTGTAACCTGGGTCCCCACCCCGAAATCCAGGGACAGCTCTTCACCCCCAGTGCTGAAACTTCTGTTTCAAAGGCCAGAAAAGCAGAGACCTGTGTCAACCTGGCAGATGGGAAACCCAGATTGTAGTCTGCCCCCCACCCACTTGCTTGGTGACCTTGGGCAAGTCCCTTCCCATGCCTGAATCTCAGTTTCCTCATCTGTCAAATGGGGTAATAACCCCTGGGTTAACAACCCACCAGTTCCCTGAAAAGGCTCAGTGCCTTGGGCAGCTTAGCCGGGCCGGTACCCTTATTAACATAACACCAGCAGCCCAGCTCAGCGGGGACTGTCAGCGCTGCCTCCTCTGGCCCCAGGTCATTTCTCCAAATGCCCCAGCGTTCTCCCTGCCCCGGAAACCATTCTCATCCAGCCTCACTCCCCAGTTCCTCCAGGCAGCAGCCTCCACTGCAGTCCTTACCCTGTCCCCACAAAACCAGGGACTGCCTGGCCAGACTCCTGGAGCCGGGCCTCTTCAGGCCTGCAGACCTGGGGCCTGCATCAGCCCTTGACTGCCTAGGGTGCCCCAGTTCCCCCCAGCAGAGCGCGGCCTGTGTTCCATGGCCCTGTCCTCCGCATCCCCATCTCCCACCTCTGGGTCACCCCATCTCAGGCCCTGGCCCTCTGGCTCTCTCCGGAGGCCACCTCTTCCCTCCCTGTCTCAGAGAGATTCCCCCTCCCTATGGGGAGTGACACGCGTGTGTGCACACACACACACACTTCATTCACTGCCAGGTACTGGCATCTCAGTCCCAACCTGTGTCCTTCCCTGTAGCATCCCCTGAATCTGGGTCCTGCTAGACTCTCAGCCTGGCCCAGTCACCGCCCCCATGCTTCTCTTTGGCAAATCTGCCCAGGGGATGACAGTCCCCTCCGGTCTCTCCTGACATCCACTCTCTCCCATCTCCAGACCAGACCCCGGGGCCCTCCTGGGAATGCGGGGTGTTCGAGGCCCCTGAGACCCTTCCTGCCCCCTCGTGTCTTAATGGCCTCCAACCCCTTCCAGCTACTGTCCCCAAAATGCAGGTTCACTGGAGAGACATCAGGCGCCTGAAGATATTGGGGTGCCTTGGCTATCAACCTCCGATCTCATCCTTCGCCCCCACGTTCCAGCACCTCCCCCACTCCATCCCCACGCGCTCCCCAATACTGGGGTCCCGCCCCCCCATTCTCCCCACCCCCAAGCTCACACTCCGCAGCTCCTGAGTCCGATCCTTCATCCTGCGACGGCTCCTCCTCCTCCTCCTCGTCCTCCTGCCTCTGTTGCTGCTCCCGGTCTCCCGCCTCGGTGCCGGAGGCCGGGGTCTGGGGGCGCCGGGG